GACCTCACAGTTTAAATGTCTATAATAAATACGTCGTGAGTTTTGGGCGTTACAGACGAACGTTCACCTAATCTGACCCAGTCAATGGGATATTTTTGCGCGCCAATCAATGGTCTCGGCTACACTGTTATGCACATGATTCTATGTTTAACGTCCTAAATCTATTAAGTTTGTTTACATTTACAAAATATCAAAGTGAATTTAAATAAATTTTCTAAGCATGTAAACCATCTAATAGGAGGTTTAATAAACCCATTATTTGGCCTCTTATAATTACAAAATAGTATAGATGTAGTCTTGAAAAAAATATATTTATTTTATTGAAAATAAGATACGATGATGAGGGGAGTTTTTAACGACCTTAACTACCCATGAGGGTCTTGCACGGTCGGTACGTAATCTAAACGATACGATGATATAATCTTGACACTTTTGTTGCAGATATGTAACTTTTGATATCACTATGTATGATACATGTATACTATATGCATGTTGAAATTGACATACAATGTACATGTATTTGACTTAAATTGGCAATTAAGACATAGTTTTTGGACAAATTCGAGATAAGTCAAGGATTTATCCTTCAAAAGATATTTTACCCACATTTGAATAAGACAACATCTAGTGAAATACTAGTATCTTATTGAATAAGGCCTGGACTCCTATCTAAATATTTAGGACAAGATCTCAAAATGAAGTTATTTTTGAAGTTTTTTTTTTATAAATTTTGCATTTAAATTATACAGTGGAAGAGTCATTGCATAGATATTGGAGCATTAAATAAATTTCCACCTTTATTGACGTGTAAACTAGACCAATTCACTAGCAAAAAAATAATTCTTAACATTACTTTAACCAGAGACACACATTGTATATATAAAATTGAGAATGGGAATGGGGAATGTGTCAAAGAGACAACAACCCGACCATAGAACAGACAACAGCAGAAGGTCACCATCAGGTCTTCAATGCAGCGAGAAATTCCCACACCCGGAGGCGTCCTTCAGCTGGCCCCTAAACAAATATATATACTAGTTCAGTGATAATGAACGCCATACTAAACTCCAAATTGTACACAAGAAACTAAAATTAAAAATAATACAAGACTAACAAAGGCTAGAGGCTCCTGACTTGGGACAGGCGCAAAAATGCGGCGGGGTTAAACATGTTTATGAGATCTCAACCCTCCCCATATGCCTCTAGCCAATGTAGAAAAGAAAACGCATAACAATACGCACATTAAAATTCAGTTCAAGAGAAGTCCGAGTCTGATGTCAGAAGATGTAATCAAAGAAAATAAACAAAATGACAATAATACATAAATAACAACAGACTACTAGCAGTTAACTGACATGCCAGCTCCAGACTTCAATTAAACTGATTGGAAGATTATGTCTTCATCATATGAATATCAGGCACAATCCTTCCCGTTAGGGGTTTAGTATCATACCATCATAACATATATGAGAAGAACATAACCCGTGTCATGCCAACAACTGGTTTTTAAATAAAAGTGTTTAGTGCCGATGCAAAGACCCTATAAGTGAATCAATATTAACGCCAAAATATGCAATCTTTAATGACCTGACAACAGTATCGTAACTATATCCCTTCTTAATAAGTCTATTTAAAGGTTTTGTTAGCTTCAGAGGTGAATACTGACATTTTTGTGCTTTATAAAGAATATTTCCATAAAAAATTGGATGTGAAATACCTGAACGTATAAGAAGTCTGCATGTTGAGCTATATTTACGAATGATGTCCTTATACCGATGATACAATTTAGTAAATGTTTTGACTAGATTGTGATATCGAAAACCCTGGTGTAATAATTTTTCAGTAATACATAAATTTCTCTCGTTAAAATCTAAAACATTGTTACATACACGAGCGAATCGTACAAGTTGAGATATATCAACACCGTAAGATGGTGACAAGGGAACGTCACCATCTAAAAATGGATAATTAACGATAGGAAATGAAAAATCATCTCTTTTATCATATATTTTAGTATTAAGCTTTCCATTAATGATATAGATATCAAGATCGAGGAAAGGGCAGTGGTCATTGTTAGTATTAGCTTTATTTAAAGTAAGTTCATATGTCTCTGCTTTTACCTGGGAATAGTATAGTCAATATATTATGTCCTAGCTATAACCCCTTATAGTTCTTGGATCACAAACAATGTTGTGTTTTCAATAATATCTACCGGCGCAGGACACTGTAGTGTATTGATATAGGACAGTTTAGCGAAAAAATCAGACGTTTTAGCGCTCAAGTATAACCCATTTAAGCGCGAAATTTTCAACTCTCTTCAGCGAAGAATGAAATTATCAATGCCAATTTTAGCGACAAAAAATCGTTCATAATAGAATAATAGATTTGTGTAGTATCAAGAGAGAACAGCATAAAACATATCGTGTCTATCCAGGATTTTTTTATCTAAGAAAAGGTCTAAACAGCTCTTGATATATCCCTTAAACAATAATACTGTTCATAAAATTGCGATAAGAACTGTTCCTTCGATTTATCTTGTCTAGATTGAGATGCAGTACCATCGATACTTATTATTTTAATATATGTTGTTTGTTTGTAATTTGATGGTAGTTTCCAGAAAAACTATCACACATTGCACTTTTATTTCCTGTTTGTTTCAACAACCGTGACTAATGTACATGTTTTATCACATTGTCAATACGAACAACTTGAACCTTAAGCCATTAAACCTTAAGCCAGCATAAATAACTGTTTTAGAAATATGGTGGGTATTATTCAACCAGGTAAGTTATCGCTAAAATGGACTATCGAAAATACAGGTGAACGGATTAATCCGGCGCTAAAAGGTTATTTTTTTATTTATAACATTTAGGAATTTAGGATTGGGGCAGCTATTTCTGCAGCTGTAATGGGCATTTCAAATGATTGTATTCAGTTAATGGGAAGATGGCACTCTGATGCTTTTAAATATATATATATATATATATAAAACACAACGTATATATATACGGATGCTAGTTCTTAACATTTGGGTCAGCTTTTCATGCATGTTCTTGGTGTTGTATCATAGGGGTAGGGCCTTTGATGCAGCACAAAGCTTTTCTTCCATGATTAAAAATTTGAAGGGTCCCATTTGTTTTGCCACTGTGCCAGAAATTTGAAGTCCTGTCTGTCTTAATTATTCTTTATGTTATTTATTATATACAGTTCAGTTTGATAGGGTTACACAATTAACAAGTTTTTTGTTTTGTTTTGTTGTTTTTGTATTTCCTTGTGTTTTATGTTTCCTTCTATAGACATTTGTTTCATTATGTTCATGATGTTAGTATGAAGGTAGGTAGTGATGTTAAAATCAATTTTATTGTACATTCAAATATGTGTTTGACAGATAATATGACAATTTTTTAATGTGGTGAAATAATATTGTAATATAGTATTTACTGAATTTAGTAATTTTTTATACATATATGGTTAATATGTGGTCATGGGCCTCTGTCAGTTGATTAGTGAAAAGTAAAATGTTTTAATTAGGAAATCACAAATCGAACTTGGGACTTTCTAAAGGACACACAGTCACATCGGTTACATTGAATTAGGGAAAATAACATTACGGATTTAACATAAGTGCAATGGGGACATGTACCTTTGTCACTTAGTACTTCCATAAACTGGAAAAATAGGTATGTAGCAATGTGTATAAGGAGTCAAGATTGTGAATGTTTGCTCTTTATATGTGTTGGTTGCCATGGGGACATGGGCCTCTGGTAACCATGTTAAAGCTGGTAATACATATATCTATAAATTTATCATTTGGCATGAGGTTTTTAGCTCCCATTTCAAATTTAAGATAATATTAGAATTACTTGCAAGTTACAAGACTTGAAGGGGAAAACATGTGAGACATTGCATAAATGTACATATTTAGAGGCCTATCATTTGGAGACATGGGACCCTAGTAGTTGTTTTGCCTTCTTAGGTGTAGGAGGCGATATTTGAACCGTTTGATTTTGTGGCAGTGGCCTCTGGCTACCAGGAGGAGGCGTGTTTGGTGATACACGTAGATTAGACCAGTTTCATAGTTGAGTTACAAGTAGTTTAGCCATCAGTTGAGTTCGGAGGCAAGATTGAATGTGCTTTTAATTGGCTGCTCTTGGAACATGGGCCTCTAGGAACCAGAACGAAAGTTTTTATATACATATAGATAAGAGATATTGTTGATTTTTCTGTTTCCTTTGTTGGGTGTTTTGGAAAAATTATGGACACTGGCATGGATGGGGGATATTGTAACAAAGAAAGTTCTTGTGTAACAATACGATGGCGAATGTAACCCAATCATTGATGGGATGGGTCACTAAGGTTTTTTTTATTATACATATACATGTTGCTTATTGATATGATTTATTGATTTAATTATATCTGTTTATCTTTAATTGTTTCTTTCGCCATTTTAATAATAAAAGACAGTTTTCAATTCTTACACATGTTAGTTTTTCATTCCTTCATCCCATCAAACAGAGAAAGCCAGTGTTGACAAAAAGCTTCTTTTTTCCCCCTAAAAATGATTTATCAATCAATCAATTGTCTTGCTAATGGAAAAGAACTAGAGACGGCACGGATTTTTGACTAGCGCTTGAAAATATATACTTGCCAGATATTTTTCCTAGTAACAGAACAGCTACAGACTTTTTATGACTAAAGCAGCAATTACCTATTGTAATGTACAGAGACAAAGACGTTTTCTAGGTAGCTAATGTAAAAGAGTAAAATTTAATCATCTACAACACGAGCGGACCTTCGATGCCTATAAGTGTTAATTGAATAGACAATATATGTAAATATAACCGAACATTGTTTAACATGCCGTTAAATTTATTTTTGTGGTGTTTCACACAGAAAATGTTAAAATATTATGTAAAGCAAATATGTAACAAAACAAAGAGGACCTATCCGTTTTCTTGCTGAAAACAAGAAATTGTTCGATAAGGTAGAATTGTACTTACTTGCACACCTTTCATTGCATAATCCGTCTTTAATGTATGATACTATTCTTTTCAAAGAACATAAATTACATAAATGGTCAAAAAACCCCAACACAGTTTATTCCATAAATCTACTTAGATAAATAAATGTATCTTCCAATAAAATACGACGAACACAAATATAATGCACGCGTAATATTTTAATTATTAGACGTCCCACTGCTTGGAAATAGATAGAAAGGTTGTTAATAACATCTTACCTTAAGTTTGATTGATGTATGCCTTATATATAATGACAGTCGTCACACAACAGGTATTTATTGCATAGGTGATTGGCCGGTTAGAAATTACTAACCGTGTGAGGGAAATAATCTTTACGAATTCGACAACAAAATTAAATATGATTTTTTTTGGTTCAAACATATATAAAAGCGGTATAAAGAAATAATATTTCGCTTTCGACAGTCAGTTTGGTTCAATTTCATCAAAATAATGTTGTACTGTTACACCACTGTCCCAGGTTAGGGGGAATGTTTGTCGCCAGCAAACATGTTTAACCACGCCATATTCTGTATGTGCCTGTCCCAAGCCAGGAGCCTGTAATTCAGTGGTTGTCGTTTGTTGCTGTATATCATATTTGTTTTTCGTTAATTGTTTTGTACATAAACCAGGCCGTTAGTTTTCTCGTTTGAATTGTTTTACATTTGTCATTTCGGGGCCTTTTATAGCTTACTATATGCGGTTTGGGTTTTGCTCATTGTTGGAGTGTTGTCTCATTGGCAACCATACCACATATCCTTATATTTATATTAAAACAACACTGTTGTATTATTGACTTGCAAGTCAATAATTCAACTCATTTGAATCTGTATTCATGTAACCTTTAATTTGACCTTTAAATGAGATAGGTTGCGCTTGTATTCAGCATGTAGTTGTCAGCAAGTGCATTCATTGAATCGAAAAGTGTGTCAATATTGAAAAGTGAAAAAATGGAGACACTAGGAATAACCATTTCGTTGACTGATCTGTCCCACAATAAACTCTTTCTTATACAGGTAAAACGATGATTTACATAAATTTCTAACCTATAAAATGAAATCAAACAGACATAGAAAAATCCGATTACACGTTCTAGCTTCTATTTATATTCATATTTATGTTTATATCGGGTTTTATGACCGTCGGCAGTCCTTATTTGAGAACCAGAATATATAAGTTTTCTTCAAAAATTTGTTTTTGGCTTCGGAAGTTTTAATAGTTTTTCATCAGCTGAGCGTAAATTATAATTTTGATTATCAGTAAAATGAAAGTTTTCTCGTAAATAGTTAGGAACCATATCCTTTAATGATTTAAATACAAGTATAGCCTTTTGATATTGAATTCGTTTTTCCACATCTAACCAATTTTAACTATTAAACAATAAACTGGAGGATGTCATTATGTCAGCTTCTACTATAACCCTAGCAGATTTCGTTAATAACTTATTCAGTTTATTTATTCCACTTTCATTACAACTACCCCATATATTGCAACAATAATCAAACAATGGCAGAATATAAGCATTAAAATAAATAATACGTATATGCATTTCGTGCATTTATTTTATTTTTCCCCGTTATGGATGAGGAACACAGATTAACCATCTCAGCATTACCTGCCCTGATGTAGACTCCACCAGATGTAAGGTACACATTTCATTCGTCATCTGATTATAACCCTGGTAGTCCTAGCTTGACCACCGACACACCAATCTTAATACAATCAGGGAAATATTATAGGCAATGATGTATACTTTTGGAATGGGAGAAATGTGTTCACTTGTTTTGCAATCAAACGATTTTCCTTTTACCGGTGAAACTCCTGAAACGTTACTTTAAATTGTAGCCGATGTTAATGGTCTCTTCAGACAGAGAACCGGTCGGGATCATAAGCTTTCCCCGGAAACATAATTCTTCTTTTATGTTATGGTTACAATCGTACCCGTCTTATCATATGATTTCTGAAATAGTTGACCTTAGTGTTTCGACTACCAAAGATGAAACACATACATGTATACCTATTTCAAGAAACATATAACTGTCTTATCTATTTGCCTTCTTTGGATTATTGGCAGAACTTACAAGGTGTGTGACCACAAATTCCGTTTGCAGAAGTGCTCCCGACAGAAAGTTTGTGGCCAATAACCGAACTACAAGAACAGTATTTCCCAGGACACAGACATTGTCACTGCATTCACACTCAAGTTGTAATATTGAATGAAGACAGGATATGTTATGTTGAGTGCAGATTTCTTTGGCATAAGCAATATATGTTGAAATAAAGTACAAGAACTACCTTTTCCGACTGAGTTGTTTTTGCTAGGCAACAAAATATATCCGAACAGATATCCAGTATTGACACCTTACATGAGACAAACCCCAGAATATGCAGAGGAAGTGTAGAAAATTAAATAACATATTACACACTATAGAGTAGAGGTTGAACACGCATTCGGAGAATTAAAAACATTTATGTGTCGTCAAAAAGAATTATTTACACGATAAAAAAAACATCATTTCATTTTACCAAGTATCTCAATTGGGTTTATTTTTTTATTTTGAGAGAACCCCTTGTTTTTCGTCAACTGTAATCGTAAGTCTAAGTGTAATCCTAGGTATAGACCTAGTTTCCGCAAATGTCTATTAAGAAGGTCATTACTATTTAAATATATATACAAACTATCAGCGATATGTCGTTCTATGAAATTGAGGGGCATCGGTGGCCCAGTAGTCTATGTGGTCGAACTACTAAGGGAAAAAAAGTAGTCGAACCCTGTCAACACTGATGTTGTGAGTTCAAGTCCCGCACGTGGAATGTGCGCTCGATTCCAATCTTAATTGACTATGATTGTTAGTTTTCCTACCGAAGGTCAATGGTACTCTTGGACACTCCGGCTTCCTCCACCAATAAAAACTGACCGTCAAGAAATTGCACAATAGTGCTGAAAGTGGCGTAAACACCAATCAATCAATCAATCATTTTTAATTGTTTCTTTTGGACCTTTTTGTAATTTGGATATACGTTTTAGTATGTTATAAATAAAATATGAGAATTTTGTTCAAATCGGTGAACATGAATTTGATAGCTTTAAAGCCCCTTTAAAGGGTCATATTGTCTACCAAATTAACGCCCATCGAATTGATTCAAAGTCTCAAGTTTGATATAATATATACTTTAACGTAATTCAGAACTACAAACTTTCCATAGAAAATAATATACAATTATGGCCTTCATCAAAAGTTAATATCCAAAATTATTAAATCGAGAAAAGGGTTATTTTCCTCGAGGTCTGTAGGACCGAGGAAAAATAAGTTTATTCGAGATGTAATAATTTTGGATATTAACTTTTATGAAAGCCATAACTGTATTATTATACTGAACTGAACGTGAAGTTTTTATTTGAAAGACGTCGTGCAAATTGCCGCTAAAGGAGTTATTTTGCCTACGCGCTCATTCCCACACAGTTATTTTGCCTACACGCATTTGCCCGCGGGAAATATGGGGTTATTTTTTCGACGTGCATATTCCCTAACAGTTATTCTGCCTACGCGCAGTCACCCGCGGGAAAGAGGGGTTATTTGTGATGGTTATTTTATTAGTGGTTACTACAGTAAAGTATAATAATACACAATGTATGGAATCGTTATAAAATATCAACATTTCGTGTGTGTTTCTGACTGGACGCCATCGACATCGGACATGACCTACAAAAATTCTCGATTGGAATGCGACCCTGATAAAATAATAAATATAAACAAACAGGTTAACAAAAATACAAATAGACATGTTAGCACGTGCAACCGTATAATGTAGATTTTCCTAGTGAAGTTTGTTCTCATTTAAGTATTAGTTACACCTATGGGGCATAAGCCCGATTTTGGTGTATCTAATTTACACCAAGATATTAATATTGTCAATGCAGAATGATAGTTTTTAATAATTTAGGAGGGAGGTCTTTCAGCGATTTGACCATATGTTATTGAAAAGCATAATAAATGCAGGGTATCCAATTTCTTTTAACAACATCTTGGAGTAAATAGATAGAAACATAATGTAAATCATTAACTCATAACCTATATAAGACTGATATTTTTCAAATCAATTAAAGAAATTGATCTTCCTGCTGCTGCCTTCCCTTGTTTCAGTCAATTTCCAACAATCGTTACGTTATATATAGATCGCAAACATACGGATCTTAATGAGGTTGAATTAATTGTAATATTCAACCTTTCGTTCTTGTAAATGTTTAGTGTATAAAAAGTACCTAAATTATTTAACATATAATGTCAAAATCGTAGCCAAAGCCCGTCTAAATGATCAGTGGTATCTTCCGGAAATATACTTTTTTTTTTTATTTACATTAAATTCGTATTACATCTATAAACTGACTGATTGGGACTGAATTTTGCACGAAAATGAAATAAAATACCGCAACTCACATCAAATACAGATGAAGCTATAATTTCACCTTTTCTTGAGTTAGGTCCCTTTATAAATGAAAAAAATTGTAAATTTGCCGTTTCCGCACTCTAACTTTACTTTCCTCAACTAAATGTTTTGAAACTTATACACAATACCACCAAACACATATGAAGCTCGAATTTGGGTGGCGTCACTTTCACCGTTTTCGAGTTACCCCAAAACTGTTTGCTGTTGAACAATGAGAGCACTTTAATTCCTAATCAATCTCTATGCATAGACACATTTTTTGTTTTATTTATCTTCCCAACATAACCACGATGAATTAAGTTTTATCCACGTTCGTTTGCTAAAAAAATCCTAATGACGAATAAAAGGAGATGTGGTTATACGTATATGACAATGAGACATCAAAGTCAACGACAATAAATGAGAGCCGACTTAGTTGACTTCCAATAGACGGTGTAAGATAAAAATGAATTTATCAGAGACTATCAAAGTCTTGCCATGAAAAACAAATCTTTCAAAAATAACATGAATACCGAAGATGTTCCAGACCGACGAATGGACATGTGGCGGGGTTGAAATAGTCTTTTAGAACTCAACCTTCCGCATTTTAACGCGATCAGTAGGCTTAAAATAGAACTAATATATAATAAATATCATTACAGGAGAAGCACTTGTCTCTAAA